CTAACTCCATTGCTCTTGGCCCAAGGTGCAGAAGATAGATAATTAAATGAACCTTCGATAGAGCTCACCTGTAAAACCCTCTGGGCCTAGGGCTCTTTGGCAGGGGAGGGTTTGTTTGCCATTCCAATATATTTAATACTTTGGTCTGTTCAAGTTTTTAATTTTTTTCTTGCACCAGTTTCTAGCACTTGTGAGTGTTTAGAGATCATTTACCAGCAATTTATATTCCTCCTATCCTGTCAGAAAACTTAATTCCCTATCCTTTTGGTTTTGGGTGTAGCCATGTGTTTTGCTTTGATGGATGGAACATTAGTGGACTTGACATGAGCTGAGGTCTTAAATGTCCTTGAGGAAGGGGTTAGCTTTTGACTCTTAAAACATTGCTGCATTAGAAGGGGACTCTCTTAGCTTAACTCTTTTTATAATCCATCAAACCTGTTCCATCAGTACCAGTGGCTCACAGCCAACTAAGTTGGGGAAATTAATACATGACCAGACTTTCCTGAGAAATGTGTGTAGTTTTTTTAAAGTGCTAGACCATGTCCAATTGAGTTACTGTGATAAAGAATTCATATCCACTAAAACATCTCTAGTCATATTGCAAAATATCTAAAGTTTAAAAAGAAGTATTATAGTTTAAAACCTTCCTATTATTCTAGACCTCTTGCTGCAGATTCAGCTGACAAGTCTCTTAACAGATGTTTATATGCCTGCCATGCATTGCTCAGTCCTTGGTCTTTAGCCTCTGAATGGTGCTTTTGAACCCTGTGCAGTTCCTCTTCTCAGGCCCCCTTTAAGGTAGCCACATATCATAGAATGCAGAGTAAAAAGGGGAGGTTGACCATTTAGATGCTGGTTCACACAGAGCACTATGTCCTGCCAGGAGTAGATAGGGAGTCCTTCTGCACTACAGGAAGAGATAATTTTATTTATGGAATGAAAAATCAGAAATACAAAGCTACTGGAAATGGTGAGTTGGAAACTTGACTTGGAAGACCTTTTAACCTCAAGATTATGACCAGTTACTGGAAAAGTGTACATCAATTTCCCTTTTGTATTCAGCAGGAGCTAAAGGTTTGGAGAGGGGGCTGCAGAGGTAGAAGACATGATCGCTGCCCATAAGGAGCTTGGGTGGTAGCAATGCTAAATATAAAACATGGAAAAGTTATGTTTGAAACTTTTAGACCTGACTCTAAATGCAATAGGAATTAGAAAGGAGATTTTTAGTTTTGAGGCCAGAATAGCTGTTGATAAATATGAATGAGGGTAGAGGAGATAGTTGGAGAAAGAGGGGCAAACTATGCTGTTTTCATTCATGTAATGATCCCAGAGATGGGGATGGAGGGGTGAAAGAGTAAGTGGAGGGGATGGGAGGGCGAGTGGCCACCCCATTCCATAAGTGGATCCTTGGCTTGTGGTAGGTGGGTTTTCAGCATATGTTGTTCTTTTAAAACCAGGTAAGTTTTAGCTTCACTGAAAATGAGATTAAAAGATGGCATGAAAGATTTAGGATCTGTATAAGGGAGAACATTTTGTCCATATTTAGAAGTTTTAGGCACTAGAGTATACTTTCTTATTTCACAGTGTCTTGTGATTCTTAATCAGCGATAGTCCTGTCCCACCCCAGGTGATATGACTTGTGTTCTCATGGTGAGGTGGGAGGTGTCACTGTAAGGCAGGGTGCTGAAGGCCTGTGAGATATAGGGGACACCCTGCACAGCATGAAGTCTGCCTAGAATCCATTGGTGCACCATGGACACACACTGGCTTCCCCGTCCACCGTCATTTGGGTTCCATTCATACAGTTTTTGCACATCTATGTACCACCTGTACCATTAATTTAATGTTTTTCTTTAAATTGACTTTTTCCTTTTAATTGACTTTTTGCCATTCTATACCTGGTCTTTTATTTACATATTTTAACCCTTGTGATCTTGGGTTTAAAATGCTATTTATAGTTTTCTCACCGTATTAAAATAGATATGACTCTTATATGCAGAACATTTCATCTACCTAATATGAGCATACACATCACTAATGGTATGTATTAGCTTTGAAAAACAGTGACCCGGTGGTCACACTGGATTCATTTGTAGCTTGACCTCATTTTACATAGTGTATCCTTAAAAGTTGACACTAAAGCCTTAGGACTCATTTTTAAGTAACCTTGTATTCAGCAGAATACACAAGTTAAAAGGGCCTCATGAGGATACTTTTCCAGATAAAGGTCAGATGGCACAGACAGCTGCTCTTGCCTCTTGGTGTATGTAAAGCTGTCTGGTTGGAAGGGCTCGATTTGCCTGGCAGACGAGTGTGTATGTGCCAGTCATCTTGGCCCAGTGTGTCTGTAGACTTCTATCTGCTCCCAGTTACCTTCTCCCTCTGTGGACGTGGCACTATTCTCAGAGGGTATGTGACCCTGAAAGTGTGGAAGAATCAGAGCAAAGTCTGTCCTTACTACCAGACAATTGGCTTACAGCATCTGTTGCTTTGAGAGTTGAGAGTGAGAAAGATGACTGAAGACAGGGCCACAGCGCAGCAGGAACACAGGCGCTCCCTCCCCCACTGCCAGTGAACTGAACTGAAAAGCAATCACAAACAAAAACGGACCTTGCCCCCAATTCACCAGCAGCCAGTAAACTAACAAACAAAAGGCAATTACACTTTGTGCCAAGCCCCATGACAAGTGGCTAGCAGGGAAGAAAACACCCCGCCTCGGCCGCTCAGAAGCAGTTCTGGGGAAAGAAGGTGAGGAATTCTATTTAATTAAATTCTATTTCATTTTTATTTGAAATTGTGGTAAAATATGCATAACATAGAATTTAATTTGTAGCCATTTTAAAACATACAATTCAGAAGTGTTAAGTACATTCACATTGTTCATAGCACATTTCCAAAGTTGTTAACCATATTGCAAAACTGAAACTCCATATCTGTTAAACACTGACCCCTCGCTCCTCCATCAGCCCAGGCAGCCACCATTTTCAGCTACTCTAGATACCTCATATGAGTAGCATCACACAATATTTGTCCTTTTGCAACTGGCTCATTTCATTTAGCATAATGACCTCGAGGTTGACCAATGTCAGAGCACATGTTAGAATTCCTTCCTTTTTAAGTTTGAGTAATAATTCTGCTATATGTATTTACCACATTTTGTTTATCCATTCATCACTGAATGAAGCAACTTGGGTTGCTTCCATCTCCTGGCTATTATGTCAGCGATAAGCATGGTGTACACTATCTCTTCAAGCCCCTTTTAAAATTATTTTGGGTATATATCCATAGTGGAATTGCTGGTTCATATGCTAGTTCTATTTTTTATTTTTTGAGGAACTACCATAGTTTTTTCCATTTTCTGCAGCAACTATACCATTGACCCTCCTACCAACAGTGCACAAGGTTCCGATTCCCCCACCTCCTCATCAGCACTTGTTAGGTCTGTCTTTTTGGCAATAGACTTCCTAAAGCATATGAAATGGAATGGAATTTTTAAAAGAGCCAAGAATTCCAGATTAGAACCAGAAAAAAAAATAACAAAATATAAAAAACAGAGGTAGATGAAAGTCAAGTGAATAGCCTAGGGGGAAATTCTAAGATGACCTCAGCAGGGAGATTAAAGCAATAAGAGAGAAACAGTCATGGAGGATAGACAAAGCCATCCAACAGGCAGAGCAGAAAAAAAATGCAAAGATATAACACAGGGAGGTTTTCTGAAAGGAAGAAAGAACTGAATCTTTGGTCAGATGGTCTTGCCATATACTAGGAAAAGCAGATCTAGACGAGCAAAGATATACCCTGATATAAGGCTTCAGTGTTTTGTACCCCACAAAGAGAAAGCAAGTTACACAAAATGTTAGACAAGTGGTAACAGAACTCTCCATAATGGCATTTCCTACCATAAAGTAGGAACAAGGTCTACAAACTTATAAGGGGAATAAAATTATTTAAATAATATAAAATTATATTTATAATTTAAAAATAAAATATTAAAAGTAACTTCAAAGTTGCAAAGGCAATAAGTAGACAATCTTAAACTAACAAAATCTCAGGGAATATTGCAACCATAGACATTTCTTGAAGAAAACTATCTGTGAGGAAAGTGACCAGTTGACACAAATCAGAAAAACAGACCCAGGAGCAGGAAAGCCATGATTGAAAAGCAGTAACAACAACAGAAACAGTGGTGAGCTTTCAAACCATTGTGGTCTTAAACAACTTGGAAGCAAGGAGCTGTAGCTTATTGTCACAGAGACATAAAAATGGTAGTACCTTACAAAAAATGATACAAGCAACAAAAGTCAAGAGATGTGAGGAAGAATGAGAGAGGAAATATAAAGTGTTAATTATAAAGTGTGGATAAGAAAACATTTGGTTAAACTCTTAAAATTTTCATAATTTATCTCCATTAAATTGTGCATGTGTATTTTTAAGTAGTTCATTGCTAGTCAGAAAATATTCAGTTTTATGTCTGCTTTTTTTCTTCTGTTAAATTTAAACAAAAATCAAATAGCTCTTATTAGGGAAAAACTCTTAGATATCAATGATCTCATTTAGAATGATAATATATCTGTCCTTCTAACAACATACGTGCATAAAGAGATATTCAGAATGATGTTCAGCACCTGTAAATACAACGATATTGGTTGATTTGCTTTCCTCATTGTAATTTTGCTTTCCTTGAATTTTTAAATGCACTCATTTTTATAAAACCTCCCACATTTTTACAAAAGCCAAAAAATTATACTGTTCATATGAAACATTGCTTAATATTATCTTCATGATTGTAATTGCCTCTTAGTCAGTTTCTCATTGCATTGTTGATAGTAGCTGAGATAAAGGAGTCAGCCTAGTGCATACCAACAGATGAATGAGTGAAGCAAATGTGATGTGTATATACATAACTGAGTATTATTCAGCCATAAATAAGAATGACAATCTGTCATTTGCAGCACAATGGATAGGACTGGAGGGTGTTAAGTGAAAGAAGCCAGAGAAGAAAAGAAAGCACTGCATGTTCTCTCCCATATATGGAAGATAACAGTCAACCCCAAAGTAGGATTGTGATCACTAGAGAATAGGAAGAGGGTGGGAAGGGAGAAGGGAAAAGGGTGGTTGGGTTTGATCAGTGCACTCTGTATACAGGTCTGGAAATATCAACTGAACCCATCAATATGTGTAATTAGTGTGTGTTAATAATTTTTTTTTTAAATTAAATCATGGTGTTGACAAACACCAGAAAAAGTCCTCGGCAATATTTTTGCAACTAGTCCCTGAGGTATTGGCAACTAGCAGCCTAGAGGCCAAAGACAGGGCGGTGGGAACAGCAGCTCTTTTTACCGGATGCCTTTTGCCTTCTTATTGAGTCATAAATCAAAACAGTAGTCTGGGGAGCGTGAGGTGGATTGACCCGAATCCCCACGATGCCGGTGGGTAGCACGTGCAGCACCCTGTGCCCATGCAAGTGTCTGAACCTGGCTTGAGCCGGGGCCATCAGCATTGCATTTGTTCCCTCAGACACTGTACCTGGTGCCTCCGCTCCCCCGCTCCCTCTGTGCTCTCCACATACTTTCCTCTGATGGGAGGCATGGCTCCCCCCTTTCGCCCACCTCCCCTTCCTCTTGTTCAGGGCTTTGCCTTAACCTCCTTCCTTTGGAGAGCCTCTGGCCACACTAGGACAGGATCCCCTTCGGAGTAACAGAGGGCACTGCTTGTTGGTGTCAGACACTTATAACTCACTGTCACATGTGTTAGCAGACAGGAAGTTAATTTAGGAAGTGCAAGGTCAAGTCTTCTCCTTGCCCCTGAGCCCAGAAGAGAAACAGAAGGGTAGCCAGGACGGGTAACTACACTCTAGTGGCCTCTGCTGCTACCACAGGCCCCACTATCGTCTCTTCCCTTGCAGACTCGACAGTTTATTTTGTCTCAGCAGGCCCCCTGGCTCCTGCTTCGCCAGCTGCACCTGTTCATGTTTGAGCCATCAGGAGAGAGGGCTGTTGGCTTTAGGCCTTACCCCCACCCCCACCCATGTGAGCCCTTCCTGCAGGGAGGCGCATTCACAGCCCAGGACCAAGCCCCACTGCTGGCCCACAGGCCAGTGCCAGGGAACTGGGGCCTGGACAGACATTGCTAAGTTCCCCCCAGAATTCCTGGCTTGGCCTCTGACAAAAGAGATGGAAGTGAAAACAGCTTGCTACTAGCAGCATGTACGGGGTCATCCTCCGTGTAGGTTTTATATGGAAAAGAAAGGAAATAGACCAGATTATTGTTTTCACACTTGCCATGGTGAACACTCTCAAGGTGCTAGGCGGTATTTCTTAAGCCCTGACACACCAAGGCTAGGAGCCCCACCACGAGCAGTCGTCTTGGCTGCCCACCTTTCTGTCTCTGCCTCCTGAAGTGTCTGTCGTGTGTTTCACCTGCGTGTCTTTTTCTCCTCAGGTGATCGGACGCCTGGGCTCCCCTCACACATCCTCAACAGCTCCCCATCAGACAAGCAGATCAACCAGCTGGCCCAGAGGCTGGGCCCCGAGTGGGAGCCTGTGATGCTGTCGCTGGGACTGTCCCAGACGGATATCTACCGCTGTAAGGCCAACCACCCCCACAACGTGCAGTCACAGGTGGTGGAGGCCTTCGTCCGCTGGCGGCAGCGCTTCGGGAAGCAGGCCACCTTCCTGAGCTTGCACAAGAGCCTGGAGGCCGTGGAGGTGGACCCCTCGGTGCTCCAGCACATGCTGGAGTGACGCCACCCCGTCAGCCCTGGGGAGGGGCCCCAAGTCACTCATGCTGAATCCCGACTCACTCAGAGCAGGTGGATTTTTGTTTTTTTTCTTTTCACTGATCCTTAGATGGAGAGAGAAAACAGTTTCTACTTGACTTTACTTAAAAAGCCAAATTACTCAGCAGATCTCCTACATTGGTTCAACAATTGATTGTTTTTAATTGCTTGAAGATGGTATTTTAATTGTAGTTTTTAACTGTGCGGTTGTGTTTTAATAGACCAGTAAATCATAGTGGTTCAAAAAAAAAAAAAAAAAAACCACCATGTTATCACATCACATGCAGGTGTGCCACATATAAAACTCCACCCTCATGTTGCCTGGAAACTGAACTGTGGACTTTGCTATTCATAATGATGATGATAATAAACAGTGAATTACTATACATATACTGTGCTCCTTTCATGAGAAAGTCTGGTGTTTTTCCTCATTCTTATATTGCAGAGATTAAGGGTATATAATTACAGTATCGTTTCTTTGGAACAGAATTGATAGTAACAATGAAATGCTTACTTTCCCCAGTCAACATAAACAGCTCAGGCAGGATGTCCGTATTAAACATGAGACACCAAAGCTCCCTGCAAAGACCAGTTCAAGTGCCAGCATGCACACCCGAGCCCTTCATCTTTAAAAGATTGCTTAAGAAAATCTTGTGCTGTTTATTTAAAACATTAAATTAGGGCAAAAGGGAGGCTGTGGTCTTTCCATTAAGGCTGTCATGACTGAAGTGTGTTCCTGAGGAGAGCGATGGAGTCGTCTCATCTCACTTATCGCAACGTGTTGTTTATGAAATGCTTTCCTCTTTTCAAGGCTTTTTCCGATATGTGATCTCATCTGGTCCTCTCAACAATTCTATGAGCAGATATACAATAGTGGTTGGCCTCCTCCTACAGAGAGATTGACTGCTGGCGTGAGTGAGCTAGAATGCTCCACGTGGCTTCTCTTCCTTTCCCTCTTGCTTGCTCAAAAGGGACAGGAAGAGTCCTGCTCCCACCTACTAGCTGCATTGCCTTCAGCAAGTTACTTGCCCTCCCTAAGCCTCGGTTTCCTCATTTGTAGAATGGGGAAATGACTGTACTCACCTCCAAGATCTTCCTGATGATTAAAGTAACAAAGTCTAGGCTCAACCAAAGCCTAGAGTACTCAGCTCTTGGAAAATGGTATCTGTTCATTTGCTGCCATGGTTGAACATGTAGTTCACAAAGTGAAGAGTGCCTGAAGATGAGACTCAGAGGGGGGAACTATGCCCATGCATTTAATTACCAACCTTTAAAATATGTGATTTTATTAACTCTACAATGGATCCAAATGAGAAAAGCACAAGCGAAAATTCCCTATCCGTGATCTGTCTTCATTAATAATTGGGCCATCTATTTAATGCTTTTTTTCCAACAGGAAAAAAATATATACTTTTTATCTCCTTACATTATGAAGACAAGTATATAGAGTGGTAGAGTTGAACAAGAAGCAGGTACTCAAAAAGGTGACCATGGTGTGTTGACATCCTGTCAGGCATCTGGTACCCATATCCCCTTTACTAGAAAGATCACTTATTCCACAGCTCATTCATTCAATGAATGCAGTCCCAGAGGATCATCTACTAGCCTTATCAGCTCTAATTTTCCATCTTATCACTCAGCCAATAATTCATTATCTTGTAAGCCTCTCATACTTTTGTCCACATCCCTATACCCAGTGATAGACTGTACTTCTATGGCATCTTCAATAAATTGCTTGTCATTTTGAATCTTGGACTCATTATTTGGCTCTCTTCCCCCTGGATTTCATAATAGAGACTAGCTTTAGCTTTTGTTCTCACCACTCAGTCACATTTATGGATGAGTGAATATAGGTGGGCACTGCTATGTCTGGCTATCTGGCATCTTAGAAGTGGGTCTGATGATTAGCTGTATCTTGCACCCACCATTTGTAAGGAATCTGTCATGCACAAAGACACTTCTGTGCTCTGCCAGTAGTGAGAGACAATTAGTGAAGAATAAGGCTGTGAATCGCTGACAGGGTCAAGGGGGCCATTAGAGCTCTGGCTTGTTGCCTTTAACAAGCAGGGTGTCTCCCCCTCCAAATGGCAGCCTCAACTCCCTGGGCCTGCTCATGTTCCTGCTGAAGTTCTGCAAAGTGGGAGAACAGAGCAGCTGAATCCCTGCCTCATTTTTACCCCTGGCTATGAAGATCAGTGATGCTACATAGCGTCTGCCGGCCTCCCAAGAGAATTAAGGAGGTGAGCTGCCTGCAAGAATTCCATGTGTTTTTGCATGGAAGAATATTCTACAATTCCAGAGTCTGTCTACCCCCAAGAAAATTATCGATAAGTGAAGTGGGGCAGCAGGGCATTTGCAGAGATTAAAGAAACAACAAAATGTCAACAGTCTTCCTCCACTTTAGATTGGGGTGTTGCGGGGGGTAAGTATGTGCAAGTGTGTGCATGCAAACATGAGTGCCTTCTAATGCTTTCAAATCTGTAACTTTTATTGAATTATCAACACAAGTAAAGTCCACATTCATTGCATCTGTTTGTAAAAAAGGAACAATGAATTATGGGGGGTGGAGAATAAGAACTATCCATATCCCCATCTTCCAAAGGTAACCTGTTAGATTCAGCTTTGCTCTGTCGTCCAGCAAGTTTCTCTGCACATTCTTTTTACAACAAGAATGTGGGGGGGGGGTATTGTACATGCTGCTGTATTGTACATGTTTCCTTCAGTACCACACCAGTGGTTTCCCACATCCTTTGTGTTTGGAACACATGTTCAAGTCCCATAGTTTTAGCAACACCTTTGAAGAGATTAGAAACCATTTAGCTATTAACTAACTTCACCAATGCCGATCACCATCAAAACATCCACCACTTTACTTTTTGCTTTGTCCCCCTTTAGCACCATGTCCCTGTCCGAGTATAGCTCTTTACTGCCCATATTGTGTACTCTGATGTCCTCAAGTAAGAAAGCTGTCTCAAATTTTCAAAAAAGAGCTGGGGATGTAGCTCAGTTTGTCCCCACTATGGCAGCCTTAACAACAAAATTGATGGCACACTTCTAAAGGGTTGGTAGGCCTGTGTGTTGCTACAATCCTACACCATAACAGCAGCACGCCTCTCCTATACATAAATATGCCACTCCTTATTATCCCTTTCCCTATTGGGTGGATCTTTAGTTTTTCTTTGCTTTTTCATTATTATATACAATGATGTAGGCAGGCTTAGTGATGCACACCTGTAATTACAGCTACCAGGGAGGCTGAGACAGGAGGATCCAAGTTTGAGGCAAGTCTGTGTAACATAGTGACCCCTCTGTCTCAAAATTATAAAAGTATAAAAAGGGCTGGGGATTGGCTCAGTGCTAGAGCATTTGCTTAGTACATGTGAGGCCCTGGTTCAATACCCAGCACTGCAATAAACAAACAATGATGCAAGGGAAGTCTCCATTGCAAAATGTCAACATTCATCAAGGGTACAATGAACCGGATCCCTATTTTGTTTAACTCCAAACATGTTTTAATTTTGTTACCAATTAGATCATATTATAGCAAACAACCCCAACATGTATTGGCTTCAAACAACAAATGTGCTGGCTTAACACATTGTCACCCAGCCAATAATTCATTATCTTGTAAACCTCTCATACTTTTGTCCACATCCCTAAACCCAGTGATAGACTGCACTTCTATGGCATCTTCAGTAAACTGCTTGTCATTTTGAATCTTGGACTTACTATTTTGCTCTTTTCCCTCTGGATTTAATATTAGAGTTGCTTTAGCTTTTGTTCTCACCACTCAAAGCCACATTTATGGATGAGTGAGTGTAGGTGGGCTTAACACTTAGCTCACACTTACGGTTCTATGAGCAGCTGGGCTGTTGGTGGAGGCCAACTCAGCTGACCTCTGCTGGGCTGGTTTGTGAATCTGTGGTCGGCTGAGGCTGGATGACCCAGAGTGGCCCCACTTGTGTGTCTGGCAAGGGGCAGGCATCTGCCTGGGGCCACAGAGGTGTCTAGGTCACATGCTCTTACCCATCAGGCTTGCCCAGACTTCCTCATTTGGTGGTGGCAGCAGAGGTCACACAGGCAGCAAGAAGCAAGCCCTGGTTTGGCCTCCACTGGCCAAACACTCTTTAAGCCTCTGTTGGCATTCCTTTTGCTAATATCCTTTGGCCACGGGCAGTCACATGGGTAGCTGAGGGTCAATGTAGGAGAGCTCTACTCAGAGGCCTGGAGAGAGGAGGGGAATAATTGGAGTCCTCTTTATGCAATGTACCACAGCCGATATTTTAAAACTGAGATTTCTGGGCCTGTTGAAAAACAAAGTTTGGCTGCTCTGGTTCCCCCTCCTGATATATCATTGGGCAAGCCCTTCCCAGCATGTCACCATCTCTCCAGTGACAGACCACTGTCCTCTACCCACCTCCTTCCTGTTTTTGCTTAAGATCTGCCTCTAGAAATAGAGCCGGGATGATTCTTGGGATAAACTCCTACTAGGAAAATTTCTGGGTTTAAAGTTGCACATTTTTAAAAACTACTTTTGACTTTTAAAACCTTTTCAAGTCAACTTTTTTTTTTTTTTTTTGGTCCAGGAAAATATAAACAATTTGTTTTTGTTTTTTTTTATTGTTGGTCGTTCAAAACATTACACAGTTCTTAATACATCATCTTTCACAGTTTGATTCAAGTGGGTTATGAACTCCCAACTTTACCCCGTATACAGATTGCTGTTTCACATCAGTTACCCTTCCATTGATTGACATATTGCCTTTCTAGTGTCTGATGTATTCTGCTGTCTGTCCTATTCTCTACTATCCCCCACAATTTGGTTTTTAAAACTATTTAGCCCCCACTAGGCTTTAGTGGCCCGCTGTGAGAGTTGCTGTTGGGCGTGTGTGCACATCCAGCCCCACACTCTCCTGAGGCAGCAGGAGGAATCTGCCTTCACCCCTTTCTCTTGGAATCCCCCCGCAAGTGGTAGTTTGGGATGGAGGCTCCTTTCATTTAGTTGTTCAGAGAGGCTACTATAATCCAGTCTGTCTGCTAAGTGCGGAGGTGGGAAGATGACCAATAAAAAAATCCCTGCCTCCTGGGGCTAATGGTTTGACCAGTGAGTCAGACATGAATCCAGCATGATGGGATCAAGGCCATACCTGAGTAAGCAGAACAGAGAAGGAACAGAGTGGAACGGTGGGAACAGAGGAGAACTGATTCCTCTGCCTTGCTTCTCAGGTGGTGGGAGGCCTGGGAAATAATAAGGCTCCACCACTCAGGCAACTTACTCCGCCTTTTTGTGCAAATTTCCTCACATGTAAAATGTGTCATAATAGTGCTCACGTATGTTTGCAGTGAGAATCCCATGAGCTAAAAGGTGCTGGGGATTGACTCAGTGCCTG